GTCGTTTTGAAGAAAGGTTTATTTCCAGGTGTTTTGTCCTAGAGAATAATTTAGTAACTAGTTTCCTATTGATTCACAAATACATCCTTTATAAAAATGATAGTGCCAATTACATTGTTTTTTTTGTGGGTTTTTTTTTTTGTCCGTTTTGTGACTGGTAAGGGGATCGCAACCCTTGGCTTGGTGTCGCCCTCACCGTGCTCAGCCAGTAAGCACACCGGCCATCCCTGTATAGGATCTGAACCCGCAGCGGGAGCGCTCCCAGCGCTGCACTCTCCCAAGTGCGCCAAGGGGCCGGCCCCAATTACATTGTTTAATATAGTATTTCCCATCACTATTGAGGGCAGGATAGCCCTTTGCTTGTTTCTTTGTTTTCTTATTTTTTTTTTTTATCATACTTATACATTATTTGTTGGGAGCTCAGAAATGTTATGTGCATTAAACTAGACACCTCAATCAGTCCTGGGGTTTTTCTTGCTATATTTGTGTTATTTTTGCTACACTCGCAGAAGATTTAGAAAACCAGAACAGTTCGGTGGACAAAAATCCTGATCAAATATTTAGAATTATCTTATGTCAAAAGTATCAGCCTCGAGCCGGCCCGGTGGGGAGCGTGGCGGGCTCCCGCCGAGGGTTCGGATCCCACATACAGACCGGTTCCCGCTCACTGGCTGAGCGAGGGGCGGGCACAGCACCGAGGGTTGCGATCCTGTTGCCGGTCCCGGTCCGGTACGGGCGCGACACTGAGGGTTGTGGTCCGTTGCCAGACACGAAAAAAAAAGACCGGTCCCGGTCCGGTATGGGCGCGACACTGAGGGTTGTGGTCCGTTGCCGGACACGAAAAAAAAAGACAGTTGTGGTCCGTTGCCGGACACGAAAAAAAAAGACAAAAAAAAAAAAGTATCAGCCTCATGAACAGAATAGGATTTTATGAAAATCTTCAGTTTCCTTCTTGAATTTGTGGAAACCAGTATCAGTAGGCTTGGTAGCTTATTTCAGCCAAAATTCCTAATTAAAAGGGAGTCTCAGATTTAATGGGTTATATTGTAGACATCATATTTGACAAATTTCAAATTCCTGTCTATTAAATTCTGATGTTTGTCTCTCTTTAGGGTTTGTGGATGTAGAAACTCCAACATTGTTTAAGAGGACTCCAGGGGTATGTATATTCCTTAAATCAGTCTACTAATAACATCCTATTAGTTAGGAAACTGGAGTACTTTGTTTCGTTTTTTTTTTTTTTTTCTGGGGGATTTTGGCAGCTGGCTAGTACAGGCACTTTGTTTGTACATTCACTTGGTTCACTTTTTATTTTATGTTATTTTATTTTATTTACTGTCCCAGGATGGTCATATTACCTAGGTTTATTTAAGAAATGAGAAAATTATGTGGATCAGTAGTATTTTGAGTCAGAATCCTTTTATTCCACAAGAGTTTTGTTTCCCTCAAGGTTTATAGATGCAAATCATCAATGAATTGGTTCCTTAAAAACAAATCCCTTGTTCATTAAGAACTGACATTTCTTTTTTTTTTTTTTTAAAGATGACCGGTAAGGGGATCTTAACCCTTGACATGGTGTTGTCAGCACCATGCTCAGCCAGTGAGCGAACCGGCCATCCCTATATGGGATCCGAACCCGTGGCCTTGGCGTTATCAGCACCGCGCTCTCCCGAGTGAGCCACAGGCCGGCCCAAGAACTGACATTTCTAAACATTGATAATTAATTCATTTATCCAGTCTATGGACTTATAAAACTACAGTTAATTTATTTTTTATTTATTTATTTTTTTTAAGATGACCGGTAAGGGGATCTTAACCCTTGATTTTGGTGTTGTCAGCACCACGCTCAGCCAGTGAGCGAACCGGCCATCCCTATATGGGATCCGAACCCGGGGCCTTGGTGTTATCAGCACCGCACTCTCCCGAGTGAGCCACCGGGCCGGCCCAAACTACAGTTAATTTAGAAGAGCAGTTAGGAATTACTTGAATAGGAAATGATGCACAGCATTTGTTCAGCTAGTAACAAAATTGAGAATTCATTTCAGCAAGCGTACATTTAATAACCTATGTACAAGTGATATTTAAAGGCTATCATGTGCAAGCTTTTTTAGGTACTGAAAATTGAGCAAAAATTGTCATTGTGGGAACTTTGCTCTTTAGTTAATTTCATTGATAAACTGAAGTATCAACTTCCACCAGTCAGTTATACCTTGGGTTTGTTTTTTAATAATGTCTCTCTTGTCCCTCTTTCTCTCTTTAAAAGGGTGCCAAAGAGTTTTTAGTACCATCCAGGGAACCTGGAAAGTTTTATTCTCTCCCTCAGAGTCCTCAACAGTTTAAGCAACTTCTTATGATTGGTGGTTTAGACAGGTGAGCCTTCTTTATGTTAGTAGTTGTCAGAAAGGGAAAAAGAGAAAAAGGAAACAAAACTGCCTGATCTCTTTTTTTAATTTTTTGTTTGTTTGTTTGTTGTTGTTTGCAGCTGGCCAGTACTGGGAAAACTGATCTCTTAAGAGAAGGTTACAAAATTTGTGAGAGTTTGGAAAACACTTATAAAGTACCCTGAAAATTTGTAGTCATCATTTAGTAAAGATTTATTGGGTAGCCACCATGTACAAAGCTCTATAATAGTAGATGTCACAGGGGATTAAAAAAAAAAAAAAGAGTAGGTCCAGCTCTCAAGGAGTTAATGAGACCAGTAAGGCAGGAGAATAGGATAATGAATAAAACCAACTGTTATATAAACCAAAATATAAATGCATTGAGATTTACAAACTAAGTATTCAGAAGTTTGAAATTATATTGTTTGGGGAAATATTATAGAAAACTGTGAGCTAGACCCTCAGAGACAGAGCTGTGTTTCAGCAGGGGGAGGTGAGAGCTGGAATGGCATAGCACAGGAAGGCTCAAGTGTGTTTACGGAGCAGTAAGTATTTACAGTTGGCCAAAGCAAAAGAATATATGTAAAGAAGCATGGACTGGTTTGTATGCCAGTCTATCCAAAGGTGTCAGTGTATATTTTGAAAACAATATATAGAATAGTTAACTTCTCATGGGTCAGCTGTGTATCAGATTAGATTAAAGCATCATAAAGAATTAACAAATCTCTTATGTCTTTTAGGTATCACAAATTTATATCATAGCCCACATTGCCATAAACATTTAGGGGAAAGTGTGTATGTCCTCCTAGAATCATGACTCAATTAATGCTATTTTTCAATTGTAGGTATTTTCAGGTTGCCCGATGTTATCGAGATGAAGGTTCAAGACCAGACAGACAGCCTGAGTTTACTCAGGTACTAAGTTATATTCACTTGTCTCTTACAAATTCAGGCTAACTACAGCCAAGTATTTTCAAAACCAGAGCAGTAGTTTTATATGGTTTACTTCTCATTACATTTTACCCATCAAAATTTAATTAAACTAACCTGCAGTTGAGGTACTAATTATTTAATTTTTGATCCATTCATGTGTCCTTTCATGAGGAGTATGGTCCTCAACCAAGGAATGCCAGGGATTCCTATAGTGTTTTAATATTTATGATATGATAAAGTCCTTAAAAAAAACAGTCTTGGAATAATTACAATTTCTAACAATATGTATGCTAGTAATATTGATTTGATCAACATATCTCAATGTTGAACCCCAAAAATATGTATAATCAATTTTGATTCAATAAAATGTTTTTTAAAAAAGTCTTGTATATTAAGAACCAGTAATTTTGTATAGCGATATTTAATCTATTTATCTAATCTGTAGACTTATCAAAGCTATTATGATTTGTAGCATATTAACCAGTGTGGTGAAATGCAAAAATCATAAGCCTTGGAGTTGGACAGACCTGGGATCAAATGTGGCTTCACTACTGACTAGTAGCACATAAGCAGCAAGTTAGTTAGCTTCTCTGAGCCTTAAGCCATGAGTAGTTGTGGGAACTAAACAAGTCAATATATGTAAGGCATTAGCAGATCACCTAACATAAAACAGAGGTACAATAATATTTATACCCTCCCTGCGTATTAACTGTTTTTGTGAAGAATCCTATGGTAACTTGAAAGCAGAGAAAATATAAATATGTATATATTGTGACTGTTCAAGTTAGCCTCCATATGTTATTTTGGTTTCAGATTGATATAGAGATGTCTTTTGTAAACCAGACCGGAATCCAGAATTTGATTGAGGGTTTGCTCCAGTATTCCTGGCCCAACGACAAAGAGCCTGTGGTGGTTCCTTTTCCTTCTATGAGTTTTGCTGAGGCGTTGGCCACCTATGGAACGGATAAACCCGACATTCGGTTTGGAATGAAGGTACTTCTCTCCACTTTTCTAGGACTCTGTCCCCAAATAGTTCAGCAGTCTTCTAAACCACTTTGAAATTTACAGGTGTTACACACTGTTAGATCATATATTTGTCGTTACCTTAGCTTTTGTTGTTACCAAGCTAAAGCAAAAGAAAATAACAGCGTGTTAGCATTACAATACTTTTTTATCTACCATGTTCTAAGACCTATTTCCGAGAACAAGATTCTTGCTATAAAGTTTTTATTACTTTTAAGTTACTGATTATATGGACAGGAATGGTAACTTGAGGGAAAAAAAACTATTCTTTCCTTTTCAATTTTTTTAAGCCAAAATGGCACTTGGAAAGCAAATAGTTAAGAGATACTTGTTTTCCCTCATCTATAAAGAGGTCAAATGTGTGAAACCAATTATTCAAATTATTAACATCTATACGTATTTAAGGGCAAGGAAAG